GTCTTCCTTAGTTCCTTCTAAATATTTGTACTTGTTAATTATTGATCAATTAAACACAATACTAGATATATATTTTGATACAATCTTAGACCATTTATAATGCACATGAAGTGCCAAAGATATATTGATGGATTTTGTTTGCTGGTGTTGAAGGGTTATAGATCATAGAAGGTAAACAGTAAACTTGTTGATTGTGAAAATTTGCTTGAATGGGGGAACAGGAGAAAGCAAAGGCATTATTCAAAAATTGTTGAAATCAAAGTGTCTTTGTTTTATTGTGTTGGGAGAGGGTGGGGGTTACTCAAAGTGTATGTCTAGTGAAGCTGTGAGGAAGCTCAGTGCTCATGGGTGAACATATAGGATAACACTTTGATGCAAGTGGTATCAGCCATGGGGAGTGGGCTGTCAGAGCCTTGTGGAGTGCTCATAAGAAAGCATATAGGGTGACACTTTGATGCCAGTGCTGTTAGGCATTGGGAGTAGCCTGTCAAAGGGTATGAGCATAAGCTTGAAAGTACAAAACTGTCCATTGTGCAGAAAGTGGAGTGTCCAGGTATAACAGGCCCATGGAGAAGTAACTTGCCTTTCACATATCTCATAACGCAAAGTGTTTAGCAAACCTTGTATATGCTTGGTTGACATCGCCATCATTTCCTTTTGTTGGTGAAGATAAAATTAGTAACTAGTAAAGAGTGCTGTGGAAAAGCCAGCGAGGGGTTGAGTGATGAAATTCTTAAGTATAATATGGAGTTATGAACAACATTTGCATTGTCTGGGTGGCACTTGACACCCTGAACTGAAATGACCATTTAACATTTCCTGTTGTCTCCAACTATTTTCCCCAAAGAGAGGTGCTGGGGAAAAGAGTTATAACAACAATATCTCTTGAACCTATATGCTATATAGTTGTAGACTTTTAGTTTAACATGCAATTCTATGTTTAGTTTAATGGTGTCGTATTGAATGGTTGTTTGGTCCAATCGTAGATTTTTTATTTATTTTTAATATTTCAGAAAGGAAGAAGATGGTCATCCATTAAAACCAATGGTATACAAACTGTAAATAGGGAAACTGCAAACCATGTTTTTTCACCATTCTAGTGAAGGTTTATTT